GACACAGACTTAGAAATATAATGAAGTACCTTGAAGGGAAAAGCCTGAGAAAACTCTTTGGGAAGCTCATTGCTTCTTGTGTTGTCCCAAACCTAACAGTAACAAAGTTATGACAATAAGAGTGAATTAAATCAGTTTGTTAAGAAAATAATTCTACATCCCATTTTACAGAAACTGTGAAAGCAAAAACACACAGATTTATTTAATTTTAAAATCAGTCATTTTATGAAAGTCTAACCTTTGCTCTTTCGTGGCCAGTTGAGATTTTCCAAAGGAGTTCAAAAAAGATCAGACCCAGAGAAAACATGTCCACTTTTCGATCATAGATTTTACTTGCCTGTTGGAACAAAAAAGTTAATATTCCAATTATTCCTTGCCCTAATCTTTAGCTTGAATATTAGAATTTGTTTTGTTTTGTTTTTGCATAGCAGGTAATGTAATGAACATTTACGACCAGTTATGAACAAAGGAGTTGCAGGTGTTCTAGGTCGTACTAGAACACCTTCTCTTTTTCGCCTGGACAAAAAAAAAGTGCCCGTTTGAAATCATTACAACTCAGAATTAACATATCAGCCCAATTTGGTATTCCCTCCACTGGTTGCCCATTTCCTTTAGAATTGATTTTAAGATCTTGTTTTCGGTTTTTAAGTGTCTAAATGGTCTCACATCTCCTTATTTTTTTACTTTCCGATACAATAAAACCAGTACTCATGTTAACTTTAGCACACCCTCTTACTTACTTGTTCAGGAGCCATGTAGGTTTTGGTTCCTCGTTCTTCTGTTCTTTCAATCAAGATTTCAGTTCTGTCAATAGTGACGAGACCAAAATCCCCAATCTTCACCTTCCCATTTTCATTAAGCATTATGTTTGAAGGCTGAGAAGTGAAAAACAAATAAAGTTATTGAACTGTTCATCAAACTTCTTGGATCGAACTAATCCTTTATGAAAACTAAAATTACCAGTGATGGCATAGACTCACCTGCCAACATGGAAAAATAATATGTAATAAGATCATTTATATTGCTATAGTCACCCTGTGATTTGTCCTACAATGTATTTATTTTTCATTTAACTTAACCAATTTTGCTTATTTTTTCTTCAAAGTCACTGAATTTTTGCTAATTCCCATTGTAATGATCAGAAGCAACCTCTCGCTAACTGCACTGGCTACCATTCGATGGGAGCATGTTCCTCCTGTCTGTACGTTGGCAATAAAATGGTTAAAAAACATTTAATATATGAACTGATTTTCCATAATTTAGCTCATTTATGTAATGTACAGTGTTTTTTTTGTGACCAACTGTGTGTGTGTCATGTGTTGCGTATGCTGAGGGGCGATCAGAAACAGCAGAGAACAGATTCGAGGGGAGGCAGGCAGTTTGCTTGCCTCATGGCAGGGGGCGCTCTCACATTGGTCTTATGACTCCACGTATGCAGAGTATGAGTATGACCCTCTTGAGATTCATAATCTTAGACCTATTACGCTTCCTTGAAGAAGTTAGGACAGATCTATGGGCTATAGAAAACTTGTTCATTACATTTTTTGCACAAAGTAATTATTAGATAATGAAATTTCAGTCTGGTCAGTTCTGCCTATTTTGAGTTCCTTTCATAATGAGCTGTTTTAGGGCCACTTGTCAGTTTAAATCCAAATAAGTTTCTGCTAATTTTGCACCTCAACTCAAGATTTACATGTAAAAATGGCTGCAAACAGATGCACGATTATAGAACTGTACATCTTTGAAAAGCAGAAGTAGAGCCTCCTGCACAAGCAGCAGGTGGTTTCTGAACAGCAAGTCAGCAACAAAATACTTGTCTTTTCCAGTAGCCATTGTACAGCACATACAGCGGTAAAACCAGCTGACCAAATGTGCTGGAGCTCATCTTTGCTTGCTGGGTGATGGGTGAAGCTCCACTGAGGTTGCTAGGTAACTGGCTGGGGTTTGCTGGGGTTGCTAGTTGAGGGACTTTGCTTGATGATTGTTGACTTAACATTCTGAAGGTACTTGAAAGGAATGGCTCATTTTCAAAACACCAAAAAAAAACATTAAGTTATTGCCAAGAAACATCTGGAAGTTTTTTAAGTACTTGGGCTGATTTTAGAAGTAGTAGAGATTCAAAGGGAAGTACAAAAATGAGCAAAATGTGAATTTTGCACGAAAGACCACCTTTAAATGTTTGTGTAAAATAAGAAAAAGATTTTGAAGTTTGCAGTTTGCTTCAAGCCATGTGCACATTTTTCATGAAAAAATTAAAGTAGTTTCCCAGTGCAACTTTCAAGAGAGAAATTTTGGTATTAGAGAAAAATGAACGTAGAATACAAGCAAGGGAGGATCCAAGGAAGGAAGTAGAAGGAAGGAAGACATTAGGAAGGTAGGATCCAACCGACCAACCAAACCAGCAGTGTAAAATCCCAAGTCTCACCTTTAGGTCTCTGTGAATGAAGTTGTTGGAGTGAATATATTCAACTCCACCGACTGTCTGCAATGCAATAGGAAGACTGTCTGCTCCTCTCTGGTTGTGTGGTAGATCCTCCTTATTCTTTTCATTAATCCATTCTCGGAGGGTTCCAAAGCTACATAATTCCATCTTAATGAAGAGGTACTTTTCACATGTGACACTTGCAAGTTAAAAAAAGGGAAATGTGATTTCTCTTAGTCTATAAGGTGAATGAAACTAGAGGAGAAAACTCTTACTCTTTTAGTTTCTTTAGGATTTTCTCTTGTTGCACTTTTGAATCCTCCGTCCAACAGTTGTAGTATCTGACAATGTTTTTGTGTTGGAGTTTTGATAACGCCGTCACCTCTCGCAAAGCTTTTCTAAATAAAAATAATACAAATACAACCACCCTCAGTGAAACAGTTTAACTGTTTTTCCTGAAATCTTTTAGCAACGTTTCTGTTTTTGTGCCCAGAGCAGCACCACATACTCACTCTGTTCCAGGAACGATCTTCACTGCATAATCCAGGTCCAACAGTTTTTCCTTCACCATAAAAACGCAACCGAAACCTCCTCCACCAAGATATTTCAGGATCTCAAACTCTGATGTGAATCTTTAAACATTAAACAGATTGCTTAGACACAAAAAAATGCATTGGCCTTTAATACTTATTACAGTTTATGCTTTTAATGCAATAAAATGTTTTTCAATACCGTGACTGCACTGGTGGGTTTCCTGGGTTTGTGATTTCCTGGTTTTCCACATCATTCTGGTAAAAAAACAACACCAATGTGTGTATTTTAAATATAGAAATGGATTAATACATCGTCAGTATTTGCGCTATATACAGAGAAATAGTACACTACAACTTCAGCCTTTAGTCGCAATGTCTGCTCATTGCATTGAAACGGCAACCATAGCAATAAGATCTTTTTCCTGGTAAGATTTTATTCCCTACAATAAATAAAATTCATATTACTAGTTTTCCAAATGGTAAACGCAGAAAATGCATCAGCAGAAGACTTGTAATTTCTGCTGCTCCAAATTAATGTAAGTGTGAGAAGCAACAATTATGATGTTGTTTTAAGGTGAATGGGGCTGATGGCCTAATAATGATCTACAACAGTACATAGAAGCTTCAAGGCAGATTTACAGGGTACAGTTAAAATTATATTAACTGCAGTATATACCTTTGTAGTGTGTTCATTTTATATAAACACTAATTTGTTTGTGCAGTAAGTTTCTATCATCCTAAAACTGTTTCAGCCATGGACACTTTATGCTAGTTTCTGTAAAATGCTTAAAGATCTGCAATGTTTTCAACTCTTACATTTACAGATAACATATGAGTGTCTACATAAGCATCAAACAATGCATTCATAGTTTAACACAAAAGCAAAACCTGGTCCGAAGAAGCCGCAGGATCAGACGAGCCTGTCATCTCGCTCTGTGACGTCTCAGCAGAATCTCTTTAACAAAATATTAATAGAAATTATTGTTCTATAGTTAAGACTCTGTGTTCTACAAGCTGCTTTAATAGAAGTAGGTAAGAAGTGTGACCGTGCAGATTATTAACTAATCATTAACCTGCAGCAGACAGCGGTCACAACAATCTGAGTTTTAATCTCAGATGTTCCTAAAAGTAATTCAGGCTAAAGCAGCAGCAGCAGCTACTGGAGTACAAATGTTTGTCATGTAAAGCAAATGAAAAACAAAACTATATTTTTCATTTCTAAACTAAATATTTTTTGTATTGAAACATATATTGGTACATAGAAGCTGCCAAGGCTCAGATTTCTTGATGTCATCCAAAAACAACAACCATGGACTTAAGTCTCAATGAATCAGCAGTGGGATATACTAGAAGTGACATTGGATGCAGTTCATGTACCAGATGCTCTTAAGTGCACAAAACAGTGAAAATCTAAACAACCTACAGACATGACAGGGTGTCACCATGTCAAACAAAACAAGCTTTTATCCAATAGTGAAACTTTGCATTCATGTTTTACATGATGCAAACAAATATTTGTTCTTGAATCAGCAATGCTCAGAGTAGTTACTGGCTTTTTTCTAAATGTGTGGCCTTTACTTGACAGTTTTAGAGAACAGGAAAGGAACCAGAGGGAGAAGACTGCCAGCCCAGGCTGAGAATCACACCTACAGTAAGTGTGCCCCTCTCTACATGGGGTGCCTGTGCTCCCCAATGGACCACAGAGTGACCTGGTAGTTATCAGGATTGGCAGTTTGCTACTGAAGTAAGATAATGACTGCTCATTCGTACTCCACATATCCCCACTAAAACAAAGCGCTTTATCTTTTTAAGATGACTTACTGTGACGTGGGTGATGGCTCATTTCCTCCAGATCCAGTTTTTCTGGACATCTAAAATTCACAAAAGTAGATTTTTTTTCTTATTACCTTAATCTTCACTATTTAGTTTTTCTTGGTAGGAAAGTCTTTTCCCAGTAACTTGCAACCTTAACATTGTTTCACTTTCATTTGATTATATTTCAATCACAATCTTAAATTTTTTTCTCTGTAATTTTACGTGATTGACCAACACAAAGTAGAGCATTATTATGATTCACAGCTCAGGTAGACCAACTTGTCGAGCCAAGTTTTACTCCTTCAAAATACAGTTTTTTCATACCTAATTTTGAAATTCAAGGTTTTTACTCTGCCATTTTTTCAGATATTTATACCTAGACACACTTAGTAATTCAGTCTCTAAAAGATGGCCTGGCTTTGCTTTACCATGTAAATTAATGGCTCTTAAGATATCATACAGATAGTGGGGTGCTGCTTTAACTATCACACCTTTAAACTATGATAAACAAACCTGGTTGTTGGGGGGGTTTGGGAAATCAGCAAATAATATTGAGTCACTTGAAGTCTTCTGCATATTATGTGATGATGACTCATTTGAGTCCCTGAGAAAGAAAACAAATAAGTACATCCATGTCAGTACAGACATAGTATTCAGTTCTACAACCTGTAGCCGATTTTTTTTGTGCCTTACAATGAATCTGACTGTGATACTGCTGCTGCTCCATCTTCAGACTCCTGAAACGCAAAGGAAGAGTGAAATATGTTCTAGTTTGCTGTAAGTTTGAATGTGATTCAGGAGAAACCATAACATTGTCCACCTGGCTGTCGGAGTCTGACTGTTGTATTCGAAACGGGCTGACACGGGCAATTAATGGGTTCGCGTGGTCTCCCTCTGCTGGCTTGGCCCGCAATGTACGATAAGCAGCTCGGTCAAGGGAAGGCTTAGCATCAAGGCCGAGCGGATCCTGACGCAGAGCGGACACAAACTGCCGGTGATCTTCTGACCCTCCCGGTACACCCGCAAGGCAGATGTTGCGTGGTCTGGAGCGATCCTCCAAGTCTTCACATTTCTTGGACAACGTGCCAACTGATGCATTTAACGAGTTAACTGATGCCTCCAGCATAGCCAGCCTCCCGTCCGGATCGTTAGCAGCCCGCTCCAAATCGTGAATAGCAGACCCAATCGAGGCAATTTGAGTCTCTAGCGGTGTCACGGCTGCTGAAATCTCCTTCTTAACCACATTTGAAATAATGTTCTCCAACCTGTTGAGGAGATCAGTGCTTTGGTCTTTCAGCTGCAACTTGGTTAGCAGTACACTATTAACATCTGGTTCAGCAGGAGCCTCGTGGTCAGATTCGCTGCGAGTCGCCTCTCTGGAGAAGTTTTTCGCCATGTTTAACTCCGGTACTTACAAGTTGCGCATCAATGTATTTTCATTCACTATTAGCCTTGTCCGTTCCAGAAAAGTGTATAAGGCAGTGATGTTTCTCCTGTGCCGAGGATTCGGGGCGTGTATCGAGTAATCCTGGAGGATTTTTATGAGGCGCCTACCGAGACTTGTGTTGATGGAGGCTGTGACGTTTGAAGTCTCATATTTGGGACGTACCACGTGACTGATTCAGGAAATGGTTTGTCAGTTTGCTTGCCGATCGAAATAAGTGGTAGCAAAACGCTGTTGCATCACCCGTCATATT